TTCACCTAGCATCCCTTTATCTCTGTACATAGTTGTTGGAGTATCCCTGTCCTGGACACCAGGGCTCGATGCTAGAGATGTAAAGGTGCTTTAAAGATATGTAGGCCAGGGCCGGCCGAGTGGCGTGTTGGTTAAGAGCTGGCTTGGGACGCCAGAGGGCCCCGGTTTGGATCCCACATATGAGGGCCAGTGACACTGCCCTCTACAGCTAAGATGCTGAACAACAGCTCACCCTGGAGCTGGGCTACCGTGAGTGGCCGGCAGCCAGCGTGAGCGGCCGGCGCTGCTGTCAAGAGGCTGGTGACTGATCTGCCTCGCCTGGGAAGTGCGCAATGATGGTGCCAACTTGGGCCAGTGAAGCAACGTCCTCCACAACTAGATTGAACAGAACAACAGCAGCTTGTCTGTTCTCCATCCCCCAATTCCCCAATAAAAATCTTAAAAAAAAAAAAAAGATGTGTAGGCCAGAGTGCCCTCGGAGGGTTTTCTAATCCCAGTGCTCTTGCTGTGTGCCTGTGAGACCCTCTGGGCTTCACTTTTGTCATCTGTAAAATGACAGTTTTTTAGTTTGTGATTATAAGTATATGCTAGAATTTCATCAGTGCTGGGTGCTTAGCACTCTGCTAAATGCTGTACTAGGACATGAAAAAGTATAAAACAGTTCTTGGCACCAAGAATCTTATGATTTAGATGGGGAAACAGACCACAATTAGAAAATAGATAATAATATTGGAAGTCACATGATTAGATGTAAAATAAGAGACCAGATGGATAAGAGCATGTGAGGTTATTATGTGTAGCATTTTATTGTATCAGTGGTTAGCTGCAGTTTTTGTTATAAAGTCCTAGACTAAACGACCTGATTTGACGCTATCAACAATTCCCATTTGATAATTCCCACTTAGATAATCTGCAGAATGTAATAGTTTAGCTCCCTTTGTTCTCCCATTTTAAAATAGTGCATTCCCAGTATATTGAGGTAATCAGAATATAGTAAAAGACATTTTTAGAGAATAGTTCTTCATCTGACACCTTTTTACATTATAATGCCAAGATATGTTTTTTGTTCTTGTCACTGCTATATTCCCAGCACCTAGCATAGTGCCTGACATGGTAGTAATCACTCAGGAAATATAGTTGAGAGACAAATTTGAAATTACATTTTAATTATCAGCAATAATTTAAATAATTATCATTTAAATTATTTTATTAAACGTTTTTCAATTTGGAATATTGGTTTTCTAAACCAAAGGACAAATTACCATTATACAAATATATTTTTAATGAAGTCGGTAGCTTTTTATTTAGTAGCTTTTTCTTATTTGTGTAAGGAAATTACTTTCTAGATGAATGAACTTCCCCACTGTTATCTGTTACTGACATCTGGCTGAGCCTCAATGGAGACCTTACACCAGTACTGCCCAGCCAAGCCATTCCCAAAATTCTGACACAAAGAACCTGTGAGACACAATACATGTTAAAACGTGAAGTATTTGATATCACATTACAGAGACTTTCATATACTTCACTTGAAGGCTATCAGTAAATCACTTTGCATTCTTTCCTTCTGAAAAGGAATGAAACGTTTTAGAAGAAAAAGAGAAACAAAGCCATCATAGCCAAGTTTCCTTAGTCAAATATAGAAAGGATGTAGTTAGCCTTAAAATATATGATAAAACAGTTCATGTTCATTATAAAATCAAAGCAATGCAGAAAGTCAATCGAAAAAAGTTATCAAAACCAACCGAAATTTTTGCCACATTTTGGTGACCCTCCCTCTGAAATCTGTGTATGGATATAGACACATGCACACATAGATCTATCTTTTCCATAAGTGGAATCATACTATTCATGCGTGTTTTTCAATCTTTCTTAACCCCATGCACTTTTTTTGATTAACAGAAAAACTAATTCTCTCCTTGAGTGCAATTTGAAATTTCACAGTAAATTAAATAACATGACTGAAACTAATTTTAGACAGAGGCCATTTAAGAAGGGGAAACATTTTAGTTTAATCTTAAAGGAGCCTTTAGGTAACATGACTTTGGCTTGTTTCCCGTAAACCTATTTATCCTAGGTAATAGGAAGATAGAGCTTAACAGATATTTGAAATAATTTGCTCAACATTTTATTGTAGGAGAAGCTGAGTGCTCTGCAGGAGAGACTGGCTGATGGAAGCTTAGCCTTTTTTGTGTCACCTTGAGCAGTTTAGCTCTCAGCCCCAAACTTGTAGTTGTTCTCAGCAAAACAGAGGCCCTGCAATTAACGGGAGATTAGCCATTTTAACTTGGTTATGCTCTTTGGGGACTATTACCCCTCCACCCTATCCTCACTTCAAGTGTTCCAACAACATATATAACACTCTCTCAGGTGAGTTTTGTTAAATTTTGGCTAGCCCACCCATTAATGTGGCTTTGTTTCCATGTGTAATTTGGTTATCCTGTCATGCTTTATACTCCTGATTTCCCTTCTCACTGAACTTGCTCCTCCCCTAGTCACCATTACTGAGTAAATCTATTTGTGTCCATCTCCACTGCTGCACCCTAGGCTGTCTATCATCATTCTTGCCCGAAACGGACTCCTGTCTGGTCTCCCCATTTCTGTTTTACCTTTTTACAGTCTCTTTTCCCATAACGTAGACAGGGTGATCTTGTAGAAGCATTGAATCAGGTAATATTACTCTTAAAACCCTCCTTCGTGCTCGGAATAAAACCTGAGTTCATTGCCAGCACCTACAAGGCCCTGCAGTTTTGGCGCTCGCTTACCCCTTGTCCTGATCGTGTGCTGTTCTCTCCTTCATTCACTCAGCTCTAGCTGCATTGCTCACACTTACAAGATTTCTTCCCCCAGATATATCAGACTCCATCCTGCCTGCACACCTTTGCACCTCCTGTTTCCTCTGCCGGGAACACTCTTCCCCAGAATTTTGCGCAGTTGGCACAGTCATGTTATTCAGGTTTGGGATTTCACCCCCAGAGGTCGTCCCCAATCTTCCAGTGTAATGTAGCTCCTGTTCTAGGGCAGCATCCCATTTTCTTCATAACAGTCAGCAACCTTAAACCATCTTTATATACTTGTCTCTTGTTTATCGTTTCTACCCTTGCCAGAATTGAAGTTCCATGAGACTGTAGATCTTGTCTGTCTTGTCCACCCTGTATTCCTACCACACAGAACAATGCTCAATAAATGTTATCGAAGTGAAACAAATCGGAATGAATCACTCACATGGAGAAATGTCCTTTTTCACACCCTGAGGTGGCTGTAACCGGCCATTTACATAGTGAGGGAGGAAGGTGAAGGGGCACAGCACAGAAAGAAACCCTTATTTTCCCAGTCCTGGTTAAAGCCAAAACTAAATCACATAAAATATGGCCCAGCAGTGAATGCAACAGTTCAGAAACTCATTTCACACTGAAGAAGGACTTCTTCAAACAAACTAGAATCAGATTAATCCTGAGGATTTCCTGTACTATTAATAACTTCTGTCGTTAAGCTACTTGATAGATAATTGCATATTCGAGCCCCAAGACACTTGATTATGAATGGTGTTTTGTTGTTGTTATTTGTTTTTAAAGATTTTAAAGTGTTTGTTGAATGTAAGAAAAATTCTTAGTGTTGCTTGTAGGGTCATTTCTGTCATTGGATTTTACTTTATATTGTGTAATGCTATAATGTATGTGTTTTTCATGTTTTCAAATAACTACTGTGCTGAGAAAAGATTATATTATAAAGGAGATATTTTACTTAGTAAAATGTGCCCTGAAGAATTTTTTATATTGAAAGGTAAAGGAGGATGTGTTCTTAAAACCTGTGAAAAATTAAAATATGTTAGTATGCAATTACTAGTACAACTTTGTTGTGTAGTTTATAGACTGATGTTTTTGTTGGCCCCTAAAGATAAAGAGTAAACCAATCTAGTTAATTATGTTAAACACACCTGAGTTAAAGTGTTTGTCTGGTTCTTTTCTTTTTCATATTCAAATAGTTTTGGGAAAAAGAAATAGTCAATCTAATATGAGGTCTGAGTTAGATTTTTTAGAGCCAGCATTTCTCAAATTTATTCTCGAATGACTGTTGCCCTTCAAAGTGGACATTTAGTGAAGTTGTATGTTTATTCTAACAATGCTCCCATTCCTTAAACAACTTTTATAGGTTCTTTTTCAGAACTGTTTCATAGCAGGTTTTGAAATTAGGAAAAAAATTAGCCTTCTTGCTTTACTTTATAAATTAAAAACCTCACTTTTTAAAAACAAAATGAAGACAGACACCTTCCTCAATCTTCATATTAATATTTTATTAATTTATGAAGCCAATACTGCTATTGAGCAGTTGAAGTTATGACTTGTAAGATCATGAAAGATATCTCATAAAGTAAATTCGTGTAAGGAACAAAGAACATTGTATAACTTTGTGAAGTAATAGATTAAAAAAAAAACCAAGCTGTTGAGACCTAGGTGACTAACTCTCCCCTTTTTAAATTTGCATTTTATCTTAAACTGAGTACATCGTGCTCTCCTACAGATGTAAGTTGTAGAGTGCCAAATCTAGAGGAAGCGCCTTACCTTCAGGGAAAGAGAGAAAACCATCTGGTACCAGGAAAAGGCCAAAAGTGGGCTCTTTTTAGTACTGAGTGAAAGCTAAGAATCTATATTTAAAATGTAACCATAAAATACTCTTGTTTCACAGTTCTTGGTGTCAAAGACTACAGACCTCTTTTGGATGATAAACCTATTTTAAAAGAGGGACACACTTCTTTGAGAAAAATAGTTGAAGCAGTACTGGTGTTTGTGGCTAGAAGACATATAAGTTTTATTGTGAGATAAGTGAATTATTTGTGTTAGGACAGGTCTTATTGTCTTGGCCTCCATGACCATTAAGGGTTTTTATTTTGTTCTACTAGCCAGTGTTTTAATCTTCTATCTGTAGAGATCACTGTTTATTTACTGTAATAAATATCATAATAATGTGGATTTTTTTTAAAACTTTTTTTTTTTTTAAAGGTGTACATCATTGACTCCTGGACCCAACTGTGACCGATTTAAACTGCACATACCTTATGCTGGAGAGACCCTAAAATGTAAGTAAACGATGACCATTTTACTGAAAATGTTGATTACAGTGCTAGTTATTAGGCTTTGTGTTTTAGTTTTTATTTCCGGTTGTTACATGTTACCTTCTAAGATATTGATCACTAGGTTTCCCCACTTTTTAAAACTTTGTCTTTCAATCCTAAGTTGTGATCAAATAGGCACACACATGTTATCTCTTTTGTAGCAAAGGTCAGAAATGCAAATAGCTACAAGGGCCAGATTGGCAACATGAATGATGGGAGCTACCAGTTTGGGGTAGCCTACCCCGTCTCGTCTCGAGAGACTGCCTCTATTGATTTATTGAGAGAAGGTGGAAATCTGACTTTTTTTGTGAATTGTCAGTTTTAGATGTTGGCCACCTTTTCAAAATTAAAAACTGTGGGCCAACATTTTGCAGGCCAAACCAAATGCATGTGGGGACTGGCTTTGGCCTCAGTGAATAGTGTGCAAGGCCTACTGCTGGGCTTTGTCCACCATGGACAGCGTCTGCTTAGGCTGCATCCTGATACCTTTGTCTGCCATTATCACCAGTGCTGCAGCTCTAGCCTCATGGGGAAATGATGGTAGCTTTGGTTGTTTAGTATCAACCATTTCATCAGGAATTTTCTCCCTTTAACTTATACTATGGTGAACAGGGTACTAAAGCCTCTCTATTTGTAAAAAGAAGAATAAAGAACATTAAAGATATGACAGATGAGTAAACAGTGCCTTTCAGACCGTGGACTGTGTGTTTCGTCATAGGCCAGGAGGGATCACGTCTTAGTATTCTGTAGAATTATTTACTTTATATTAATTTACCAATGCAACAGAAAGTGAAAAATCTGTGACATGGTGACTTGTTAACCTTGCGTCATTAGGCTATACTCTGGAAACCTTGAAATACAAAAGAATTTCACCTGTTTGAGGTAGTAGGACAGATTAGGTTGCTACTTTAAAAAGAATTGATTTAAAAGAAATGATCAAAGCAAATCATTCACATGGTTAAAAATGTAAATAGTTCAGAATTTTTTTTAATATATGAAAGCAGTAGTCCTCTGTCCTATTTCTCCCCAGTCCTAGTCCTTCTTCCCAAAGGAACCACTTGAATTTTTAAAACATTGTTTCAGTGTTTAGTTCTTCTGGGGATGACCCATATATCTAAATAACATGCTTATGCTTCTGTTTCTTGACTTATCAATTTTAGATATTATGATCTTTTGATTTCCTGCTCTGATCCACAAGGCATCAGGCTGTTTTCATGGCACTCTTTATCTTTCTCTTCTCCTCTTTAATTTAATTATATCACCACTATTGGTTCTTGGGTTGGGTACCCTGTAGCTTTAAAACATTTTTTTTTTAAGGATGACCTTAAGCATTGTGTTGCACAGTTAAATGAACAGCCCATCAAAGTTGTTAATAAGTGCCTGGCCCACAGTCGGCACTGTTGTCACTTAAGCACAGCCTGTGCCGTGACGATGGACACTTAGTGTACTTTTGTTTAGTTTCCCATTAGCCATAGTAGTGTCTTCTGGCTCCCCGCTTTGTAAGATGAAGATATTAGCCCCTGCCCTTTCTTCCATTCCTCTTCCTTCACCTCCCAACGTTTGTTTTCTGTTATTTTCCTTTTGCATTTTCAAGATTTTAACTCACTGTCTCTTCTAAATCTGTGATTGTCTTTTGTGCTTTGTCTATCAGTTGCTTTAATGATTGCTCTGCAGGCCTGTTTCTGCGCAGTTAACACTATGGGATTTACCTTTATCATTCTCTTGGATTTGGCCTTGTTTTGTAGAATCTATGTATTGAAATTCTATGTTTTGTAGAGTTATATCTTGGTAAACAGGTTACGCCTTTATCTCCTGGAACATAGTCTCAAATCACTTGCTTGGATCCACTCCTTCCTCCACCCTCCCACCTTTCCTGTGATTCTTCTGATAACTTTATTACCCTGGTCATAATTAGGTATCTGAATTCCTAAGAGCTTTTTCTTGTTCTTGCTCTCTGTTTCATGACATCTTGTTCTTATTTAATGAATACAGTATCTTAAAAGTTTTCAAAGGATATAGAGTTTTTAAAATTTTTAAAGTTTTCTTAATTATTTTAATTTCCCCCAGGGATTATATTTCTGTTTGGTTATCTTTTTCCCCCCCTCTATTGTTCTATAGTCTTTGCTCAAATAAAAGGTGGTTTTTGGCTGTCCATTTATATTTAAGACAGATGATAAAACTCTGATTGGGGCTTCTGTGTAGGCCGGCTTACTGAGTGGGCAGGTTAATGGTGGGCCGGCTGTTAGTCTGAGGAGCCCCTATGTGTCACATTTTAGAGTTAACTGTTGTAGCTCTCCCCCAAATGGTTTGTTCTGTTTCTTTGGAAAATCTATCCCCCGACCCTAGTTTTTTCCCCTGGTGTTATACATTTTGCCATTGTGTCAATTTTGAGGGGAGTGGGTATTGTGGATGAAAAAAAGGGGTTCTGAGGAAAGTAACCCTGCAGGGTGATCTAATCATAAATTCCTAACTGGGCAGGTCATGGTGGTCACACCCCAGGCATATAATTTCTTTAGTGAAAGGTTTTAAGCCAGTCTTGTCCATTGTTCTTTTAATCTAGGTTAACACACCTTTGAAACACTTCAAGAGTATACATAATCTTGTTAACTATTTTGTAATCTAATTCCCACCTTGCTTTCTCTAATCTCCCTTATGTCCCTTCCTTAATTTCAAATGCATAAAAAAAGCTGCAAAACTGTTATTCTGCTGGAGCATTTGAGATCTTGCTCCCCAGCATAGACTATGTCATCAGTTTGGCTCAAAAGAACTCCTATAAAAATTCTCTACAGCTTTGGACATTTCTTGTATTGACAGAATATAGATTATTCCTTGTGGAGCTTTTAATTATAAATCTCCCTGTTCTTAGCCCATGTCTAATTTTGCCTCTCCTTACACCGGATGACTCCCAAATTTTTGTGGCTTTACCAGGACAGATGGCTTCCTCCTCATCAGTAGCCTCTTCCTCACATTATTGCCGCCAGAGCTTTCTCATTAAGTACTATTCTTCTGCCTTCTAGGAATTTGTTGAAATGTCTCACTTACCAATCGCTACTCTCTTCTCTTCCTCTTCTCTTTCTTGTTGTTTTGGATTTTTATTCTTCTGTTTCTTCACTGTCATTTAATGGGAGGGTAGTCTTTCATTGATTATAGTACACAGCTTGATCTAAAGTTTCTCATTAAATCCCACTAAAAACTTATGGTTCTTGGTTTAAAGTATAGTTTTAACCACGGCTGAATCAAACTATTTGGAGCTTATAGTAATTTTATTTTATAACTTTAAGCTTAGTGAAGTTAGAGATGGAGACTGTTTTGTTTATTAAATTATATCTTCAGTCTCTAGCACAGTAAAGATATTCAATTAAATATTTGTTGAAGGAATGAAATGAATGCATGGATGAATTAATGAATCTTAGTGTTCAGATTTTTGTTGGTTGAAGTATAATGTTATAAAGAATGACATTCTGTTACTTGTATCAGCTTTTTCCAACAGAAATTCAGTTTTTAGAAGTTATTTATTGTACAAGAAATTTATAATTGGAACACTGCTCTTAAAAATTCAGAAAGCAGGAAGGACATACAGTACTTTGCAGCTTTGGAGTCTATCAATTTGTCTTTATAAATTTTATTCTGCCTTCTCACAGGAGGTTAATGAAAATAGCATGTAACTAAATTTTATATTTCAGAATACTTTATATATTGGAAAACAGTTCTATAAATGTTCATCTGTGAATAAAGGAAATTTTGTGCAGTTAATGATAATGAGAATGAAAGACAAAGGAGAGGGCATATTTCTACTCATGAATTTATGAATTGATTCCTACAAGAATTGATTCCCACATTCAAAATTAAATAACTGAAATAAAAAAGACCAGATTATAGTACATTAGGAATGACGTTATTGTTTCCTCAGCTCTTTTAATGTGAAGAGACAATTCTTCAGTGTTGGGGCAGTGAAAGAGTTACCAATTTGTATAAGATTCTTGTGGAAAATATCAAAGGATAGCTGAATTAAAGAGAAGTCCTTGAATTTCATGATTGTAGAAGAGAGAACTGTACTTACTTAAAGGGGATTGGAAAAGTGAATCTTGAATGATCAAGGTTGATTTAAGTAAAATGCATGTTAAAGTCTAGGATGGTGCCACTAAAATGCGTGAAAGTTTACCAGTTATAGCAAAATTCACAGAGAAAGATCAGTGAGCTTCATATAAATGCATAATTGTAAAAATAGCCACCCTCATCACGATCTATAGCACTTAATTCTTGAAGAAATTATTGTGTTTATGTTTTTTGTACCCTATTTATTTAGGGCAGGAAATAGACTGTTTTGCTCATGCTTTATTTCCAATCTCTAGTGTATTGCCTAACATTTAGAGAGGCACACTAAGTGTTTGTGGAATGAATGAACCATGTTTATTCTTTGGATCTGGCAATGGTGAAGTTTGATAAGAAAGTGACAGAACTCTGAAGTATTCTTAGTTTCACAAGCTCATTGAATAACACTATTTATATAACTATAAAGAGAGATAATTGAAATATTATAAGTTATATTAAGCAAGTCTGTGGCTGGTAAATCAAATGGTTTGCTAATATTGTTTTCAAATTTGAAATGATTTTTTATTTAAAATTTCTGTTTTTCATACTAACAATTTACTTTAATCAGGGACTGTTTGGTTACAAGAAACCCATTGGAACAAACATAAATGAAAGAGTGTGTCTTTATAAGAAGTTAAATGAATTCCATGGTGCCCAAATATGGGAAGTGCAGCTACTCCTCACAGGCACTGGAATCAGGGCCTGGAAAGATGGCAGACACCACAGTAGCCAGTCAACATCTGTATCCTCGTTTGTCTGTGGCTTTCTCCTGCAACATATTCTGTTGTCACTAGAGTCACTTTGTTCTTTCCCCCCAGATTTCTGTTTCTCCTTACATAGAGTAGAAATGGCTTCCTGAGCCCCTTAAGTGG